ACGCAAAGAGCCTGTATTTACGTGTATTGGCGCATCGAGCGGGGGCGACAAGTTTTGTTTGCCATCTGTTAACAGTAGTACAACCACTAGAATAATATATATATATATATATATATATATATATATATATATATATATATATATATATATATAGCATATCTCAATGCAAGAGTCATGGCGCGTGCAGGTTCAGACGGGACAACTCGTTCAACAGGCTGCGCACAGCACATTAACAATACTCATATCGGCTGTTTTACGTCCGTTTCACACATTATTGCACCATATCGAGACGCACGCGGTCCCGCATTGCACGCACGATCGGGGCCAGAGCGGCGCGTTTTTTGTTCGCCACCTCTCGGCGACCCGAGCGGGGTCGGCGCGGTCACTGCGGCCGCACCGTCGCTGTTCGCACCGCGGCTGCCGACGCGAGCCTCGCCGCCGGCCGCGGGCGCCCCCGCCCCCGACGCCGCGCTGGCTCGGCCGTCCGACGCGTCGGCTGGCCCGCCCCGCGACCGCCGCGTCACCGTCGCTCCTCGGTGGCCACGGCGTCGCCGTACGCGGTGGCCGCGACGACGCCCGGCCGCGCCACGTAGGAGCGGGTGACATAGGCCGGTACCAGGCGGCCGCCGCCGCGCACCACCGCCCACACCGGCTCGCGCACGCGCTCCAGGCGCACGCTCTCGCCGGTGTCCGTGTTGGTGGCGGTGCGCGTGCTCTGGTGCGCCTTGTGCGTCTCCACCGTGCGGTAGCCCTCGTTCTTCTCGCGGTAGAAGGTCTTGCGGATGCCGAAGGCGGGCACGGGGTGGGGGAACCGGAACACGGGCAGGTAGTATGGTGACGGCGTGACGACGGGCGGCGAGGTGTCGACGGGGGCGGAGCCGTCGGCTCCGGAGCCGTCCTCTTCGGTATTTGATGCGGGGGGCGATGCTGAAGAGCTGGCCTCTTCAGAAACGATCTCCTCGACGTCAGGAGTGACGGACCCAGAGGCCTCCGACGATATGTTTATATCTCCGTTAGCGTCGGCGTCTTCCGAGGTATTCTCGCCACTCGAGGACGATACCGACGAGGTGTCATCTGAAACACTGACTTCGGAGGTCACGGATCCAGAGTCATCAACGGATCCGGAGGCCTCCGACGATATGTTTATATCTCCAATAGCGTCAGCGTCTTCCGAGGCATTCTCGCCACTTGACGACGATACCGACGAGGTGTCATCTGAAACACTGACTTCGGAGGTCACGGATCCAGAGTCATCAACGGATCCGGAGGCCTCCGACGATATGTTTATATCTCCAATAGCGTCAGCGTCTTCCGAGGCATTCTCGCCACTCGAAGACGATACCGACGAGGTGTCATCTGAAACACTGACTTCGGAGGTCACGGATCCAGAGTCATCAACGGATCCGGAGGCCTCCGACGATATGTTTATATCTCCAATAGCGTCAGCGTCTTCCGAGGCATTCTCGCCACTTGACGACGATACCGACGAGGTGTCATCTGAAACACTGGCTTCGGAGGTCACGGATCCAGAGTCATCAACGGATCCGGAGGCCTCCGACGATATGTTTATATCTCCAATAGCGTCAGCGTCTTCCGAGGCATTCTCGCCACTCGAAGACGATACCGACGAGGTGTCATCTGAAACACTGACTTCGTAGGTCACGGATCCAGAGTCATCAACGGATCCGGAGGCCTCCGACGATATGTTTATATCTCCAATAGCGTCAGCGTCTTCCGAGGCATTCTCGCCACTCGAAGACGATACCGACGAGGTGTCATCTGAAACACTGACTTCGTAGGTCACGGATCCATAGTCATCAACGGATCCGGAGGCCTCTGACGATATGTTTATATCTCCATTAGCGTCAGCGTCTTCCGAGGCACTCTCGCCACTCGAAGACGATACCGACGAGGTATCATCTGAAACACTGACTTCGGAGGTCACGGATCCAGAGCCATCAACGGATCCGGAGGCCTCTGACGAAATGTTTATATCTGCAATGACATCAGTGTCCCCCGTTGCATCATCGCTGCTTGATGTAGAAGACGATGACGACGAAGAGCTGGTCGCCTCAGAACCGCTGCCGTCGTCATCGAAGGTCACAAATACCATGTCCTCCATATTTTGGCTGTCGTCGGCGGCCTCCTCCACTGCGGGTGCAGCCGGCTGCTGCTGGCCGGCGAGGTTGTCCGTGTTCTCCTGATAGACGTCGAAGCCACGCGGGATCGGGCGCATCCTTTCGCCGTACTGGGGCGCCGCACGCCCGTCGTGGTAGACCTGGTCGCTCGCGCCGACCGCCTCGCCTCCCTCGGGCTCTCCCCCGTCGCCGCCCGCTTCGTCGTTCGCGACGCCGTCCTGTCCGTGTACAGCAGCCGCGGCAGAGCCGTCGTCCGAGGTGTCGTCATGGCCGCCGTCAGTACCGCTGGTGGAGTCCCCGTCAGAGCTGATGTCGGAGCCCTGGTCGGGGCCGCCGTAGGAGCCCTCGTCAGAGCTGATGTCAGAGCCCTGGTCGGATGCGGGCGCCTCGCTCCCGTTGTCGGCGGCCTCAGCGCCGGCGTCTTGCAGCGCGGCGTCATCTCCGACCACGTCACCCTCGTGGCCGCCGCTGTCGCCGGCGTCGGCGTGCTCCTCGTCCCGGAACGTGCTGATGTACTGGGGGCTGAACTGGGGGTCGGCGATGGCGCGCCACACGCCGTGCGGCCCGCCGGCGGTGGCGTGCAGGTCCGGCCAGCGCGGCGCCGGCGCCGGCGTCGGCGTGTACTGCGGCACGGGCAGGTAGTAGACCGACGGCGGATTGAGAAGGCGGCGCGGCCGGCGGATGGTGGACGGGCGCGCGGCGGCCAGCGCCGCCAGCAGCAGCAGCAGCGCGATGGAGATCTGCCGGCACGAGGCGGCTCAGTCGCAGCACCGGTAGTGGGGCAGTTGGTCGGTGTTACGGATAGAGTGCAAGTGTCGGCTGGTTTCTCGCCGATTCAAATGCGCCTATGAGAAAGTGGAGCATCAGACCATCATTGTGCCAGCTTTGACGCAAGCTGAATCGGCGGAACCGGCGATAAACTTAGTGCAACGGTTTTTTCCGTCCCCATTTGGTCCGTTCAAGTGGTGTTGGAGGGCCAGCTGTGCCGTGCTCAGTTAAATAGCACATCAGACTTCATTTCATTCATTCGCCTTAATTCCAGCCCGACCTGTAAATAGTGACTGCGGGGCAGTAATACGCAGTACAGAATGGCTCCATTCAGCGGCTTGATAGTCCCTACCAGGCCTCGGTGGTTGATGATGCAGAGTGTGATAACTGGGTATGAATTGGACAGCTGCTGCCAGTTGCTGGGCAAGAGTGCACGTGGCTGTCGGCATGGTTCTCGTATTCATGGTGTTGGAATGAATATCCCTCAAGATAAGCCATGGTAAAACGCAAAAAGCGCAGTGTTGGGAACAGTGATGAGTGGTTTGCTGAAATTCCAGGAAAAGACCCGTCACCTATTCACATATTTCTATGCCACCTCAGCGTAAGTTTGACTGAACGAGGCCGGTAGGAAAGCTTGACTTGTAGGATTGGGCATTTTAATCCCGTCCCCCTCCCCTCCCCCAGAAAGTCAGGGTGGTGGGAGGCTCATGGTACAAGGCCAACACTTCTCGCATGCAGTGTTTCGGGCTCGTTTTTGCTGCTCTACATCGCTCACGAAGTGTGGAGTTTTACCGGATAACAACAATACTTCCCGCGCCAAACGGCGGTTTGGTTGTCATGCCGGTGCTCGCATTATGAGAGTTTGCGTGCACCTGGCATGCAACATGCAAATCTCCGCTGCGGGAAGCTGCGATTTTATGCCGGGTCAGCGTAATAGTTTGGTTCAGATGCTCAGATGTTGCCTGCAGCTGATGTCCCATGTCGTGTTCGAGGCGGCGTGTCAGCAATTGGAACATGCCGTGGATCGGCTGCCGGCGCCGACGGACGGTCAGCCGGACGCACGCGCACCACACGCCAGCCATCGTCTCATGCTCATGCCGTCCAGTTCACCGGTGCAAAGCGTGAGACTAGTTTAGAGGATTGGGAGCGAGTCGAAGCGAGATTTCCCGCAAAGACTATTTTGCGGCTCGCTTGTTGTTGACGGTTTTTGCTGTGATTTTGGGTCAAATTTGGAGAGGCCTGAAGGTGCCCGAGATGTAAAGGGAGAGGAAGGAGGGGCAGCTCCCGTCCACAGATGGAAAGTTGTTTCCGTGGCCCGGTTATCGACCAATGATATATATATATATATATATATATATATATATATATATCTATATATATCTATATATATCTACATATATATATATATATATATATATATATATATATATATATCACTTTATTGCAAATGCGTGCACGTGCGCCGTTGATCAGTCAGATGAGATCGTGACCCTGAGTGTTGACGACCCAGCAGCGTTGCACGGTCGGCGCACGCTGACCGGGAGGGGTGAGGGAGGGGGGGGGGGGGGGGGTCGCTCGGCACGGACGCCGCCTACCTTCATGACGCCGGTTCAGGACGGTGCGGTGCTCGTCGGTCGCGCCGCTCGGAAGTCCTCGGCCGCGGCGCGCGTCGGCTTATATGGGGTACGGCAGGCGGCCGGCCCGTCCCGCCGACGCCCCAGGGGTCAGGAGACGGGTCCTGGTCAGTCGGTGTTCCTTGCGACACGCGCGGACCGGGGCGGGGCCGGCGGGGCGCGTCAGGGGGCGCCAGGGCATCCGCAGTGGCTCCGGCGCGGGTGCAGGGGGGGGGGGGGGGGACGGGACAGACGCGGTCGGCGCTGGGCCGGGACGGGACGCGTCAGGGGACGCCAGGGCATCCGCAGTGGCTCCGGCGCGGGTGCAGGGGGGGGGAGGGCGGGGGGCGGGACAGACGCGAGCTGCGCTGGGCCGGGCCGGGACGCGCCGAGGCGCAGACAGTGTCCTGATCACATGCGATAAGATGCTGGGTCAGGGCTCTGTACTGGCTGGAGACGAGCCTTCTTACCAGTTGAGAGTTCCTGTGCTGGCAGCTATCGACCTTCACAAAAGCAGGAGGCACCGGCTCAGCGACGTTATCAAGTAAACACGGCAATTGTGTCGGTACTCGATGTTTCAGGCTGTGTTTTTAATCACTAGCGAATTGGGTCGAGAACAAAGGATTAAAAACGAAGCCTTGTGGCGTCAGAAAATGCTCGATATCCGCGTTGAAACTAGCGCTGAAAATATTTAAACATGGTGAATCATCCTAGCTCTTACGTCATAGCATGCGATACCCGATTCTCCGCTAATTGCTGTACGAAACCCAGGAGGGTAAGCCGAAAGGTTACGATCAACTTCGCGTGAACGTCAGGAACCTGTTACTTGTTTATTTATAATATATAGTTATATTATATGATATGTTAATTCGTAACCATAACCACAGCTTGAAACGTGAAGCCTTGATAATGCAATCAATGTTGCTTGATACGCCATTGAAGCAACATCACATGGAACAGTGAAGGCCATTAACTGTCAACATAAGAATACGAATTCATAATGCCGAAAACTAGCAGCTCCAGGTCTTTGCTTATATCGAGCCGCAGTATCATTGGCTGACACGGAATAATTTTGTCGCCTGTTGTGACTTTCGCATGCGACCTAACGATGCATTTGTGTCTCGGTGTGAAAAAGGTGGTTTCGATGTCAACGGCGGGCAAGGTGAACCTTCGTGTGAGGTTATGGCAGAGCTTCCGCGCTGGGCTCTCTGAGTGAGCGCGGCGCCAGGTGTGTCACTCACTTCCGGCGAAGCGCGTTGGTGTCGGTCCTGACACGGGAACCGTCTGCGCTAGTGACCTGCACGCAGATCGTTGACGTGAGCGCCTCGTCTATTGGGATGAGACTTGGGCTGAGTCCTGCCCTGGCTCGCCCGAACATTGCCCCTTTTTCACCAGTGCAGCATAGTGGTCGGACAAAGTTCGGTGGCGGAAGGTATTTACGCCACAGTGCTGTCAGGGCTTTATCTAGATTGTGGGAAGCCGTGTGACGCCAGCAGCCAGTAGCCGGCGTGCCCAAAAACCCGTCACTGGCACTATATGCGTGACGTCAGCGTCGGTTTCAGCTGAGTGTGGCTCAGTGTTCGGACACTGGTGCTGACGCCTCAGTGTCCCCATGCGGGTGTAGTCGGGCCGCACGCGCCGGATCGGCGGCGCTGACACACCGGCAGTACCGCCACACAGCTGGCCGTGGTGCCGGCCTGCCACCGTGCCGAGCAGAGACGCACACGTGCGGTCACATGGTGCTGATCAGAGACGCGCACGTGCGGTCACGTGGTGCCGGGTAGACACGCACACGTGCGGTCACATGGTGCCAAGCAGACACGCACACGTGCGGTCACGTGATGCCGAGCAGAGACGCACACGTGCGGTCACATGGTGCCAAGCAGACACGCACACGTGCGGTCACATGGTGCCAAGCAGACACGCACACGTGCGGTCACATGGTGCCAAGCAGACACGCACACGTGCGGTCACGTGGTGCCGGGCAGACACGCACACGTGCGGTCACGTGAGGACGACAACCGGACAAAGTGAAAACCCGGAATGTTTACCGAATAAGTCAAAGGACAAATAGTTAAATGAGTAAAAGTCAAGCAGATTTTTAAGATATTGTTTTTACTATCAAAGAGACAATAGTCAAACAGTAATAAGTCTCAAGAACAAAAAGTCAAAAGGGAGAAGTCAAATGGATAAAAGTCTAAAGTTTAAGGCCAAAGGTAATGTGGTAAAAGCCAAAACTGATCAAGACCACGTGATAATAAAGGAAATGGCTGCTTGTTGCCGTTAAGTTCCCCACTCGTCTGTAAAAAGGAAAGAGACGGGCCTAAGAGATACAAGTCAAATGAAAGAGGTTCCTTAGAGCCCTGAAGGAAATAAGCTGAGAACGTCGCAGCATCGTCCATTGGGCAGGCGTACTGTCAAGTCAAATCCGAGGCGCTCCGCTGTCTGCACAGCCGCTAGGCCAGTGCGTCCCAGTTACTCTCAGGCTGGGACTCCTTAACATGTCAGCCAGGCCCCTTGCAAGCCGTTTTGTTTTAGGTGTAGTTGGGAGCGGCGCAGCAGGAAGCCAGCGAGTGGGCGGTTACCCGCCCCCTTGGTTGAGGTAGTAGATCCTAAGTTGTGTTTGTAAGACCCTTGCATCAAGTTGCCAATTTAATAGTCCGCTTTGGATCAGGAAGACTTTCTTTGTGTTAAGGAGCCTCTTTTGCTAGCTCGGGACGCTCCGTTTGTCCATTTGATGCCCTTCCCCCCCCCCCCCCCCTCTTGTCCCGGGGTGGGCTTCATCCCTCCTGAGCCCCCCCCCCTCCCCCCGCCTGGGGGCGCGGTCTGTATCCCCCTTGTGATCTTTTGATAGCCTGGTATGTCATTGTTCATTTTAGTTTTATCCTTTTTGACGTTTTGCTTGTGACTTGTACATCTGACTCATTGCGTTTGGATTTTTGACTGTTAAACCTTTTGCAATGTGACTTTGTCTTTTCGACCTTTTGGATTTTTCACCTTGTATTTGATTTATATGCTGTTTCACTTTTCGCCACTTGACCTCTGTCGTTTGACTTTTTGTCGTGGGACCGTTGCCGAGAACGGAACTCGCCACGCCCGTGACGCCCGCCGAAGCCAAACCGGATTGCTTATCATTTGAGCGTTTTGGAGCGGCAGTGGTTAGCATATTTGATTAGTGGGCACGCGGTGTGGTAAACAAATACGACGGCGATGTTGTCCACGCGCCTCGTGCGATTTCTCTTGGCGGTGGATTTCATGGGTCGTTCCGGACTGGGTGTCGTAACCAAAACCAGTCATATTTCATTGGTCGCAGATGAAGGCCATAGTTTAAAGGTGCTTGTGTCGTACGTCGCTCGGGGAAGATAGGGCACTTTTTGTTGTTTGCCGTTCCCTCATGCGTTCAAAACTGGACTTTGGCTGTGTGTTGACGACCGGGCACCGGACCCATCAAACGCGCTCTTGGCCGCGGTTCATCCCGATGCGCACCGTATAGCTACGGGGGCTTTTCGTGCATCAGCCATCAATAGTCTTCGGATGGAGGTCCGCAAGCCCCATTGCGTGATGATATAATGATGAGAACGTCACGGCAAAACGCGCAACAGAAATAGCATTGCGAGGGGAACTGGCGGGACCGCGCCACAGGTGCGAGCGAGCACAGTTTCCAGGTCACCCCCACGTAAAAAGCAGAGTTTTCTTGCAGGACACGAATCCTGTTCCAACAGCAACGGTCGCGGTAATCCGCTTTGTCGTGTTGCCACTACAGTGGGGGAAAGGAAGCGGCCTCTTGCTGTTGACGTGCAGGTCGCACTTTATGACGCACACCGCTGCGTGTTGTTGTCTGGCAACAGATCACGCTGCCGTCGATGTGGTGACCCGCCGGCGGTGCGTCGTTTGTTGCTGGGCTGCCGTCTCCCTCTGTACGGCGAGCGTGATTTTTCGGAGAGCGTGGCCAAAATCTTACACGAGCTGACGTTTTAGAAAATGATTCCCACGCAGCTGAGGCTTGTCGGGGTTTTCAGTCCCTTTCTGTCGCGCGTTTTGCCGTGACGTTCTCATCATTATATCATCACGAGCTCCCAAGGCATTTCAAGGTGGCGATTTTTTGTTTGTTCGTTTTGCTTTTTGCTTTTTGTTTTTAGAACCCGTTTGATTTCGACCCTGTCTCAGTGGCACAGTAATTGGCGCCGCATGACACCCTGCAGTCATTGCGCCAGAAAGTCCAAGTCGGCAACAGGTGTGAGATCATATATATATATATATATATATATATATATATATATATATATATACATCGTCTCGTAGCCTCTTGGAGATAAATATTTATCGTAAAATGGGGCTAGCGGCGCTTAAGGAAGTGTGTCTGGTAGGCAGCGCGCTTAGGAGTTCTCGAAATAGCGGTTGTTTGGCCATCAGTTACTTAAAATAGATAGAGATGAAAATGAAGGTATTAAGGAATGCAGTGATAATTTAACGTAGAGTAATTATATGATATAGAAATAAATGTAAAGCTCGCAGTATCAGCTTCGCTGTGCGTGACACCCAACCCATGTGCCAGTCGCCATTGTCCTGCACGATTCCGGACGCCGTGTGATGTTCACGTATGTTCCCCGGGGTGCCCGACCCCGTGCTTCTTTCCAGCGGTACCCGGCCACTACCTTGCGTAACACCTGATACCCCACGCCTCTATCCAGCAGCACCCGGCACTGCCTCTGCGTGACACCTGACATCCCCGTCTCTGTCCGGGAGCACCCGACACTGCCCTGCATGACACCTGACATCCCCGTCTCTGTCCGGGAGCACCCGACACTGCCTCTGCGTGACACCTGACATCCCCTGTCTCTGTCCGGGAGCACCCGACACTGTCTCTGCATGACACCTGACATCCCCGTCTCTGTCCGGGAGCACCCGACACTGCCCTGCATGACACCTGACATCCCGTCTCTGTCCAGGAGCACCCGACACTGCCTCTGCGTGACACCTGACATCCC